GAATAAGTGCCCTTCCCTCAATAAGCACACTCCCTCCCCACCCCCCCCCTCCCAGGACATAGTGTCAATTATGTGCCCTTCTTGAAGAAGGCTCACATTCATAATGGTAGTGATACAAGCAAAACCTGTTTCTATTGCCACTTTATTTATAACTTTTAGGCTTCTGATTAACAATTATTTTCACAACTAACTTTTTAATTAATTATTTTCATGCTGAACTTTCCAAAAAAATTTTTTTTTGCAATGTTGTCGATGTTATGAATTATTTATAGTTCATTTTCTCATCTCCCATCCATAGACTTGTCTCTCTGTATTACCGACTCTTCAAACTTGATCATCAAAGTTGTTCCTTTATGCCAGTGTGCAGTTACTTTTGCAGGCTACAACAAAATTACATCTATTAGCAAACTCAATGTAGCCAACCCATACTGTAAATCCCTCAGCAAAACTCCTCACTTGTCTTAACCTTTTACACCCGAACATCATTTCCTACACATTTCCTCTTACTAGTAATTACTGACAAAGAGAATTTGGTTAAAGCAATCAAGAGCTTCAGTAGTCTCCTATATTCTTGTTACTATTGATCAGTGACATTAATTAAAAGAGATGGGAGATGCTGGTTTTTCCCAAAGGATTGAAAGGTGAACTCCTTCACACTTGAGATCTCATTAGTCATTCTCCCTGCCGTCTGCCATACAATCCTTATGATGTTAGTTTAGAGAGTTTAGTATTGGACAAACCAAACTTCTATTTGATATTTTCTTTTTTCTCATTGCTTGTTAGTCTCCTTCGCAGCCGTCTTTCGGGATGTCACACAACGTTTCCTCAAAAGAAACAGCTGCTCACATTCGAACCACATTTCTTTCCCATAGCGTTTCAAACAACCAATTAGGTCAGGGTACTGCGAGTGATTTTCGAGTGAAGTTTATGTGAGATTTCCTTTCAGCCACATGGTATGGCAAGTGAAACGCCAAAAACAGTTGTGGAGGAAACCTCAAAGTATTTCATGTGTTCTTCGCCTTCAGCAGCCCAAGAAAGAGTATTTATTTTCGGAAATAGTACCCATAACTTTGTGGAAATAATCAGATCTTCCTTGGACTTCCATATCAGCTGCTATCGGAGCAGCAAGTTGTTTATATGCAAAGCTGTGTGTTGCAAGCAGCTGCTGAAATTTCATTGAGCAACTGAAAAGGTTCTAAAGCTGAAGAGGGAAATTCTTGAATCTTTCTAAGGGAGGCCAAGAGCCAACCACTCGTCACCAAATTTAGTATCTTGTAGGGAACTTATAGACCACACGGAATCCGCATTGCCACGCTACCTTTATTCTTCTGCACACTCGCTCTATATACATTACACAGCATTACCCACGTGCTTCATACTAATTAGATTATGTCATCACTGATATTATTGCAAAAACACGAACACGGTAGGGAGAGCTTGATAAATTAGAGATTTTCCAGAGCCTGTGGGAAGGTTTACTAATACATCTTGCTTCTGGATGACAAACTTTTGAATCACAAGCTTCTGGTAAGAATTAAAGCCTGCGATTTTGAAAGTTGACGATGCTTGAAGAAAAGCTTCATTAAGGATCACCATCTTGATTTTGTAATCTCAGGAGATCGTTGAAAGATAAAACGAGAAGTATTATTGGTCGAGTCATCTTTAGAAAATTTCGCACGCGACAGTTCCAGAAAATGGAACTGTAGCTGTGATTGGCTAAAGTCGGGAAAGGAATGTGGTTTGAATGTGAGCAGCCATTTCTTTCGGGGGAGCGTTACATGACATCGTGAAAGACAGCTGCGAAGGAGACTAACTGCTTGTCGGCTAGATATTGTTTTGTTATTGTAATGAGAAATTCTGTCTTGGTCACTCATGGGAGTGAAACAGTGAAGGATTCACAGAGAGTGTAGGGATTAAATTTGACATAATTCACCCAACCATTGCAATGCAACTTGATTTTGCTGATTGATCAGCAGCAAATGTGACTGCATAACATGTCTGATAAAATCTGAAGCGCTCAAAGCTTAACATGCAAGGCAAGAAGTGCCCAGAGCTAATCACTAGCGGTAGTGGTAAGCCACATAGAATAATACCAAAACAGTGGATCACATTCAAGAAACCCTTTGATTGGCTTCTCAAACTCTAAATGTCCTTTGCTATTCACCTTTGTCGCTCAGTAAATATTCATCAGCAGCCACCTCCAGTTTGGTGAATAGTTGTTAAAGAACTATATTTAACTGACATTAATTACTAA